GTTTTCTTTTTTAGTTGAGTCTCTGCCTGGTTTTCATATAGGGATAAGGTTGGTCTCATAAAATGAGTTAGGGAGGATTCCCTCCTTTTGTGGTGTTTGATACAGTTTCAGAAGGAATGGAACTAGCTCCTCTTTGTATGTCTGGTAGAATTCAGCTGTGAACCCATCTGGACCTGGACTTTTTTTAGTTGGTAGGCTATTGATTCCTGCCTCTACTTCAGCCCTTGTTATTGGTCTATTCAGGGTTTCAGCTTCCTCCTGGTTTAGTTTTGGTAAAGTACAAGTGTCTAGGAATTTATCCATTTCTTTCTGGTTTACTGGTTTATGTGAGCAGAGCTGTTTGTAGTAATCTCTGATGGTAGTGTGTATTTCTGTGGGATCAGTGGTGATAGCCCCGTTATCGTTTTTTATTGCATCTATTTGATTCTTCTCCCTTTTCTTTTTTATTATTCTGGCTAGTGGTCTATTTTGTTGATCTTTACAAAAAACTAGCTCCTGGATTTACTGATTTTTTGAAGTGTTTTTTTTTTGTGTTTCTATCTCCTTCAGTTCTGCTCTGATCTTAGTTATCTCTTGTCTTTTGCTAGCTTTTGAGTTTTTTTGATCTTGCTCCTCTAGTTCTTTCAATTTTGATGAAAGAGTCATTCTTAAGAGGTGAAGATGAATCAGGGTTTTTTGGGTTCTGTGAGAGATTTAGTTTATGAATAGGAGCAACAGGCTAAAATCATTATTATTATTTGGAAAAAAATGTCAGAAAGCCCGCAACCACTGCTGAGTCAACTGTTTGGGCTGAAGGTAAAAAGTTACTTTAGGCTGCTCAGAGGTGGAGAATTATGGCTTTACAGAGTCAGGCAATAGGGAGAAGTCAGCCAGGGAGAAGGCATTTGGAAATGTCCTGGTATGAAGAACATTTGAGGATCTCACTTGGTTGCTGTAGCCTCTACTGCTTCATCTATGCAAAATGCTGAGAAGGTTTGGAGCTGAGACTGTGTGTGGTGGATACCTCTACCCCGAGGCTGGCTGTGCTCTGATTATAACAGCCCCACAGAGGTTGCAATCAAGTGCAAGGACATCCAGGTGGACCCGTTGGGCTCTTTTCACTTGAAATGCAGTGTTTCCCTGACTGTGAAGAAACTCCTTGCCATGAGCAACTCTTCAGACAATCTGGAAGTTAAGGAGCTGCACTCAAGCAATTAGTCTTTCCTCCCCTCCCCTAAGCCAGATGCTCAGTGCTGGAGCCTGGATGTGGCAGCTCCTTCTTACCCACTACAGGGCAGGGAGGACACAGGGAAGAGAAATGACTTATTCTCTGGAGATATGGAGAAAAAAATAGGGGTTCCTCCCACTGCCACATGTCTGTTCTCCAAAGGCAGGGCAAAACTTGTAGAGTTTGGAAGGTTTAAACATGGGGAAGATGTCATCTTCAATATGTTTGTATTAGTAGGGGTTCACACACCACACTCACACACACACATAAACACACAAATTGATTGTGGGAGTTAGCACATGCAATTTTGGAGCTGAGAAGCCCCACCGTCTGCTGGGTGCAAGGTGCAGACCCAGGAGAGTTGCTGGTGTTATTCAGTCTGAGTCCAAAGGCCTGAGAACTCAGGGAGTGGATGGTGTAAATCCTGGTCCATGGGCAGGAGAAGACCCAGGTTCCAGATCAACAGGCAGGCAGGAGAAGTCAGAATTCTCCCTTCCTCTGCCTTTTGTTTAGGCCCTCAACAGATTGAATGATGCCCACTTGCACTGGGAGGAGATCTTCACTGAGTCCATCAGTTCAAATGCTAACCTCTTCCGGAAACGTCCTCTCAGACACAGTCAGAAATGTTTACCACAGGCTCCCATGATTCAGCCAAGCTGGCACATGAAATTGAGCATCACACTGTTTCAAGTGTAAAGTGAAATGGAACAAGAATAATCATCCAGGGATACACTGTGATGTATTTATTTCATTCCTAGAATTAATGATCAAGACCACAGAGTTGCCCAAGTCAGAACACACCTTCATGTTCCACTGTATTAGTCTGTTCTCATGCTGCTAATAAAGACATACCTAAGACTGGGTAATGTACAAAGGAAAGAGGTTTAATTGACTCACAGTTCCACATGGCTGGGGAGGCTTCACAATCTTGGCAGAGGAGCAAAGTGATATCTTACATGGTGACAGGCAAGAGACCTTGTGCAGGGGAACTCCCCTTTATAAAACCATCAGATCTCATGAGACTTATTCACTGCCATGAGAACAGTATGGGGGAAAAACTCTCATGATTCAATTGTCTACACCTGGCCCTGCACTTGACATGTGGGGATTATTACAATTCAAGTTGAGATTTGGGTGGGGACACAGCCAAACCATATCATTCTGCCTCTGGCCCCTCCCAAATCTCATGTCCTCACATTTCAAAACCAATCGTGCTTTCCCAACAGTGCCCCAAAGTCTTAACTCATTTCAACATTAATTCAAAAGTCCAAGTCCAAAGTATCACCTGAGACAAGGCAAGTCCCGTACACCTATGAGCCTGTAAAATCAAAAGCAAGTTAGTTACTCCCTAGATACAATGAAGGTACAGGCAATAGGTAAATACAGCCATTCCAAATGGGGGAAATTGGCCAAAATGAAGGGGCTACAGGCCCCATGCAAGTCTGAAATCCAGAAGGGAAGTCAAATCTTAAAGTTGTAAAATGATCTCCTTTGACTCCATGTCTCATGTCCAGGTCATGCTGATGCAAGAGGTGGGTTCCCATGGTCTTGGGTATTTCCGCCCCTGTGGCTTTGCAGGGTACAGCCCCACTCCCAGCTGCTTTCATGGGCTGGTGTTGTGTCTGCAGCTTTTCTAGCTGTGTGGTGGAAGCCGTCAGTGGATCTGACACTTTAGGGTCTGGAGGATGGTGGCCATCATCTCACAGCTCCACTAGACAGTGCCCCAGTGGTGACTCTGTGTGTAGGGCTCCCACATTTTCTTTCTGCACTGCTCTAGCAGAGGTTCTCCATGAGGGCTCTGATTCTGCAGCAAACTTTTGTCTGGACATCCAGGCATTTCCATACATCTTCTGAAATCTAGGCAGAGTTCCAAAACCTCAATTCTTGACTTCTGTGCCCCCAAAGGCTCAACACCACATGGAAGCTGCCAAGGCTTGGGGTTTGCACTCTCTGAAGCAATGGCCTGAGCTCTACCTTAGCCTGCTTTTAACCATAGCTGGGATGCAGGGCACCAATTCCCAAGACTGCACAAAACCATTTTTTCCTTCTAGGCCTCTGGGCCTGTGATGGGAGGGGCTGCCATGGAAGTTCCTGGTTGATCTGGAGACATTTTCCCCATTGTCTTGGTGATTAACATTTGGCTCCTTGCTACCTATGCAAATTTCTTCAGCCAGCTCAAATTTGTCCTCAGAAAGTGGGTTTTTCTTTTCTGTTGCATAAACAGGCTGCAAATGTTCCAAACTTTTATGCTCTGCTTTTCTTTAGAACATAAGCTCCAATTCCAAACCATATCTTTGTGAATATATAAAATTGAATACTTTTAACAGCACCCAAGGCACCTCTCGAATGCTTTGCTGCTTAGAAATGTCTTCCACCAGATGCCCTTAATCATCTCTCTTAAGTTCAAAGTTCCACAAATCTCTAGGGGTGGAGCAAAATGCCACCACTCGCTTTGCTAAAACATAGAGTCACCTTTGTTCCCGTTTCAACAAGTTTCTCATCTCCATCTGAGATCACCTCAGCCGGGACTTTATTACCCATATCACTATCAGCATTTTGGTCAAAGCCATTCAACTGGTCTCTAAAGAGTTCCAAAGTTTCCCAAATCTTCCTGTCGTCTTCTGAGTCCTCCAGATGGTATCAACCTCTGCCTGCTACCCAGTTTCAAAGTTGCTTTCACATTTTTATGTATCTTTAGAGCAGCCCCCCACTTACTGGTACCAGTTTATTGTATTATTCTATTCTCACACTGCTAATAAAGACATATCTGAGATTGGGTAATTTACGAAGGAAAGAGGTTCAATTAACAGTTCCACATGGCAGGGGATGCCTCACAGTCATGGAAGAAGGCGAATGGGGAGCAAAGTCACGTCTTACACTACAGCAGGCAAGACAGCATGTGTGGGGGAACTCCCCTTTATAAAACCATCAGACCTCAGGAGACTTATTCACTATTATGAGAAGAGTATAGGGGAAACCACCACCATGATTCAATTATCTCCACCTGGCCCCACCCTTGACATGTGGGAGTTATTATAATTCAAGGTAAGATTTTGGCGAGGATGCAGCTGAACCATATCATCCACCAAGCTTCAAATGAAGGATTAATGTGAGTCCAGTGATGTCCCTCCAATTTGTAGAAGAGAAAACTGCAGGTGAAGAAGTTAAGTGTCTTACGGCATCTCATAACTAGTTAGGGTCACTCAGGAACTTAAAGCTGGGGTTTCTGACTCCAAATCCTGCATTCTCTCCACCACCGGCTGCTGCCTTTTCATTGAACTTATGAAAGGAGAGAAGCTCCAAACAAATCCACAGTCACTGGCATTTCATGTGGGTTTTGTTCCTGGTGGTTTGTTTGGTGACATGCATCTCCTGTGTGGGCCTGACTGTGGGCAGAGAGTTAGGCCAGGGTGGCAGCAAGTCCTTGCTTCTGCTTGGTTAAGCATGAGCTCCCAAAGGAGGTGGGGGTGTAGTTAATAGCCTTTACTGTGAAATAATATTTATAAACCAAGCTGTTGTCAGGACAACCGAAAGCAGACATGGCAGAAAGTGCAGCCTGACTGTCAGGTAAGGGCTGTGCTTTGGTCAAGGATAGGCTGAGGTGAGTATCCAGAGTGACTCAGCGAGTGTAGAGCGCAGGCATATAACTCCACTTGTTATAGCCATGTAGACGTACCATAAAGAAGCTCACCACCACAGCCATAACACGGGGAATGCTTATCCTTTAGCTCTAAGCCACTATTTTCTATAAAAGATATAATTGCCCTGTTGACACTGTGCAGATCATGCCCAGAGAGAGAGAGTCAAAGTTGCCCATCTTGGCAGATGGACAGGGGTCAGCCAGGACATAGCTTGGTTTACCAGTGCCCAGAGAGAGTTAAGCTGCTGATCCTGATGGCAAGGGAGAGCCGGCTGCGCAGCTGTGTGTGGGAGCCAGCTGCTGAAAGGAGCTGCGGGGCCGGCTCAAGCAGCTGAGACAGGGCAGACAGCGTGAGAAAGCTGCTGATGAGAGCTGCTCCGGAATAAAATCATCTTTCACCTGCCTACGGTCCCGAGTGTTCTTTCTGCTCGCCCACCCACTCCCTTCAGGCCTCGGCATGACATCTGGTGTAGACACGAGCCTTACACCGACCATGCTGCGCCGCCTGCGTGGCTGGTGGAGGCGTCACGCTATCTGGTAGCCATCCATCGCTGGGTTTGTATCTCCTTCCAGTTTCTGAACACAGGATTTGGAGTTAGAAACTCTGGCTTTAAATTCTGGATTGACTCTCACTGGTTATGAGATGGTGTAAGTCCCTTCTTCACCTGCAGTTTTCTTTTCTATCATGGATATCATGGGATACCTCACCAATTTACAGAATTTAACCTGCATGCTAATTCACCCTACTGTTAATCCTTCATTCAATGCTCAGGAACCTCGCCTCCCAGTACCTGTGCTCCAGTGTCCCCTCCACTTGTGTGCTGCAAGAATCAGCTGCCAATTCCTGCTAGAAGCTGTCTGTGGGCCGAGATCCACACGGAGCTCTAGAACCAGCCACTCGCTCTCTGTTCCTGGGATTCACCTCAGTCCCACTCTGTGTCATCATGGTTCTTCTGAGGGCCAAGTCGTGGTGTCACTCACCACACTGTGCACCTGAGGACAGCATTTGGCATCATGTTTGTGTTTCCAAATGTTTGAGAGGTGAATACATCAAATACAATTATAGGCTTTCCTGCCACCCATCTAGTTGGAGCATGCCTGGAGCAATGAAGGAGTGGTGTGAGATAGTGAACCTGAACATTAACTATTTAACCCATTTAGGCTTCTGTAACAAAACACCATGCACTGGTTAGCTTATAATAAACAAAAATTGATGGACCTCAGCTCTGAAAGCTTAGAAGCCCAAGATCAAGGCGCCAGCAGATTTCGTGTCTGGGGAGGAGCTATTCTTCATAGACAGTGGCTTTTGGCTGTGTCCTCACATGGTGGAAGAGTGGGGTGGCTCTCTGGGTCCCTTTTATAAGGGCACTAACCCGATTTGTGAGGCTCTACCCTCATCACCTCCTGAAGGCCCCACCTCCCAATACCCTCATATTAGGGTATTAGGATTTCAAATATGAATTTGGGGGTTATGATTTCAAATAAGGATCTGGGGGGATTCAAGCACTACCTGAGCATGAAGAGTTCTTGGAGGACAAAGGAAATGAAGGCAGTGGCGTGGAGGGCATGAGGAACCAGCTGACCTGAGTGAACTCTTTGAGTGAGGGAATAGGGAGGAGGAGAGGGGCCAGGGATGTGATGTGCTGCTCCCCCAACCATTCACACCCGGCGTGACGTGGTGGGCAGTATAGGTGGGAGACACGAGGACATGACATGCTGGGAAGGAGGGGCTGGATCAGGAAGGCTGGATGCCAGGTGGCAGAGCCAGGCCCCCCAGGGAGGGAAGACACCTGAGCCTGCTGAGTTGGAGCCCACAAGCCGAGAAACGGGATGGAGGGAAAATCTTTAGAATTTATAGATGTTAGTAAATATAGTGAAACTGTCTTTTCCTAACGAGAAGCGTAGTTGATGAATGTTTGTTTTGTTAGTGGTGAAGCTGTTCTACATTTTTCTCTTTTAGGATTCTTTCTGCATGAGCCTATTAGTCACTGTTTTGTAAATCAGCTAGACTCTCCTGGGAATGCAGATGTTCTTTTGCTGATTTATACAAAGTGGGGACCTTCCCATGTTTGCCGGATGATCTCAGTGCTGTTCAGGTTGACTTTAGAATTCTTTCTTTTTTTTTATGGAAGCAGGTATTAGATTCGCTACTCAGGTTACAGGCCAAACTAGTCTTCTCTCCCCATTTTTCCTACAGATCACCCCTGATTATCTTGGTGAGTGACTGATTTTTATCAAGGCAAGGACAGAATGGATGCAGGGCCGCGGGCAGGCCACCTCTGCGCTCTGCAAATTCTTATTTAAAAAGCAGCAGAGAGCTCTTCAAAGTTGTCTTCTCCAGCCACTAAGCTGCCTCCTGTTGCATGCCGGCACTTAAATCAGAGCCACGGTTGTCCTTGGAGTCATGCTTTTCTCCTGCTCATGGCTCTTGGAGGCATTGCTTTGTTTGTAGTTCCAAACACAGGAAACTTTGCCTTGCATTTTTTTTTTTTAATAATTTATTTTTTTTATTGCATTTTAGGTGTTGGGGTACATGTGAAGAACATGCAAGATTGTTGCATAGGTATATATCCAAAGGATTATAAATCGTTCTACTGTAAGGACACATGCACACAAATGTTCATTGCAGCACTGTTTACAATAGCAAAGACCTGGAACCCACCCAAATGCATTTCCACCCTAACTCTAACCTTGGAGGAAGGGAAGGGGACCTGGGAATACAACGCTGTGGACCAGGCCTTCCTGGGTCCCCTTGTGCTGCCCTTGAATTCAGAGTCAGATTTTTTTTTCTTCTTTTGGGCCGAGCTCAAATCCAGCAGCAGTTCCCTGGAGCCAAAGGGAAGAGGGAAACTTGAACCCTAAACTCCCAAAACCCGCTCAATCCTAGGAGCCCACTCACTCTTCTTTCTCCCAAAAATATACCTCTAGACTCCTCACCTACTTATTTCCCTAACTATTCCGACTGCTATGACTCTGTTCTGGGGTGAGAATGGTAGGCCGGGGGCTTCCTAAGTCTCTGGATGCGGCCCTCAGGCAGGTGCAGTGTGTCCTTCCCAGCAGGGCACTGTCCTGCTCACTCTACCTGCCACAGCCAGCTCAGTGTCACTCTGCGATCTTGGCATTGGCATCTGGTCTCCTGAGTTTTTGGCTATCCACTCACTTTGGTTTGGATGGGCTGCAGGAATCCACTCCTGACTAATTTCCTTTGGGTAACATAACTCCCCCACCTCTTGGCCCCAGCCCTGGCACCAAAGGCTGCTGGCTCCCCCATGGCCAGCAGGGTTTCCTTAGGGTGGAAGAGATTCAGATGGCTCCTGTGCCAGGACAGCTTAGAGGCTACATCTGTGTCTTCTCCCATGCTCAGCCAGCATGGGAGAAGATTCCTCACTTGTGCTGGAGGCTTTCTGGAAACGTCCTTCAGCTGCAGGCATGAGTAGGTTTATAGTGGGGGCCAAAGAAACCAGCTGGTGAAGACTGGATGCGTTCATCCAGTGGCATTTGGATGATGAGTGCAGACATGTAAAGCAGGAAAATCATGCTGTTTGAAGGATGGGGAGCTGCATTCTGGTTTGGCTGTCACTCACCACAGCCCTGACCACGGACAGACTCCTTTACCTTATGGGTGGCTGTCTATCCTTCTGTGAAATGGAAGGGATGTGTTATTAGTATTGCTATAAGGACTAAAACACAACTGCCACAGAGTAGGCAGCCTTCATAAATGCCTTCTCTTTCTTCTTTCTGCATCGTCAGCCTTTTAGTGTGTACGAAGAAAAAAAAGAGTTAATTCACGTGTAAGAATTATTTAAGCCCCAGAAGTACTTTATATATCTTCCCAATTCCTATTCTTATCACAAGGGTCAGAAAACTTGGACCATTTAAAGTGGCCCCTGCTGTCTCTACTGACAAAGAAAACTCTTGCACACCAGAAATCGTGGAGAAGACAGGAGGCGGAGGATCCGCCAGAAGGGTGGACATGCAGCTTCAACGCCCTCCCTCAGGTCAGTCTGAAATGCTCGGATCAGCATCTACACCACTTCTTATGGTGGCGGCAAGAAAAAATTAGGAAGCAGCAAAAGCAGAAATCCCTGACAAACCCACCAGATCTCATGAGGCTTGCTCACTATCACCCAAATAGCATGGGAAAGACGGACCCCCATGATTCAATTACCTCCCCCTGGTTCCCTCCCACAACATGTAGGAATTCTGGGAGATACAGTTCAAGCTGAGATTTGCGTAGGAACACAGCCAAACCATATCATCCAGATATTTAATAGAAATAAAATACTTAAGTATTTGATCTGTTTACATAACTGCCCAGGAAATAGCATGTTTTTATGTTTCACAAAGTTGAAATAGTGGAGCTTAAAATAACACAGACATTAATTTTTTACATTTTCTAAATTCGTGTTGAGAGTTGGTTGAATAGCTTTGATGATGTCAATTTTAGGCAGGGATTCTCTGTCTTTCAGTGTCACGTTGCAATGCAAATTATCAGTCTGCCATAGATTTACCAAAATTATTGGTCTTATATTAATATTACTTACACAATTTTCAGAAATAAGAAAACATACAGATTGGTGGAAGCATTCCACTTGCCGTAGCTGCAAAGGCCACGTTTCTGAGGCTGGTGGCACCCCCTCCTTTGTGTTCTCTTGAATGGACAGCATTCAGGAAATGGCTTTCATTTCATGGAAGATTCAATCGTTCCGACAAGATAGTCTTTTTTCCCATGTATGACAACATGCATAAAATGAAAATGAGAGTGAAAAATTGATTTTGACTAAAAACTAAATTGGCAAGTGTAATCGGCATCTTGAATGCAGTAAGGGCTTCTCTGCCCCTCGCCTTCATCTGTCCAAACTGTCCTGTCAGAGCGTCTCCTGCCTGGCCTGGCCCCACAGCCAAGCCTGCGCACGCTCGTGGAAGCTGCATGGAGGTGGAGGGCAGTGGGCCCTAGATCAGGTGAGTGGCTGGAAGCCAGGGCGTGGCTCATTCACAGTCATGCTGTGAGGGCGGCCTATGCATCGTGAGCCATGCGGGGACCCCAGCCAGACTCTACCTGCCTGTGCAGCTGGTTTCCAGGTTTGATTCCTAGCCTCAGCCCTGTCCTTTTTACCCAGAAACTGGAAAACAAACCCTACCAGGGTCCTGGTTCCTGTCGCAGTCCTCTGAGCTCCTCCAGGCCGCCATGGCAGGACCCTCTGGCTGTGCTGGGCTCTACCACAGCTGGGTCTGGAGGTGCTGGGCACCTAATGCTGTGTGCACTCCCTGCCACGTAAGAAGTGTCTTTTGCCC